AGAGAATTGTGTTTTTTCTTTTTTATTGTGAGCCGCCCAGAGTCACCCATGGGGGAGATGGCCGGCATACAAGCCAAATAAATAAACAAACATCTGGCTGACTGTGTGACCAACAGTAATAATATTCTAAAATAGATTATTAATATTAGGACATCCATTCAGGTGTTCAAAATTTGAAACTAGCATAATATGAGAGTTTAAAATTTCTATTTCAGTAATATAATGTACACTCCTAGAATGGATAGGAATAAAATAACAAAAGGCCAATATTATATTATTATATAATAATATTAATACAATATTATATTAGGTGCTCTTTTTAAGTGAAAAAATCTATTTTATTGACTGTTCCGGCAAGCCAATTTAATAGTCTAGTTTCTTTTTCTCCTGTGGTTATGTATTCAGAAAGCTTCAGAGAGGGATGGATAGAGGAAATCTTCCTTGCAAAAAGAGAAAGAAAGGAGTAACACTTCCTGAATTTTATTTATGCTAGTATTCCGCCTGCAATAGATTCTTCAGGGGACAATATCCCCAAATGTGTCCCCAGAAGAATGTGTAGCAGTATTATGTTGCACCTCTAATGCTCTTCAGTTGACTGTCTGAAAACACTAGGTGAATAAACTGCAAAGCAAACAGGCCTAGTAGACTTTTCAGGTTTGGCTGCCATGTGAAAGTATATTAGGAATGGAAATATCTGATAAATACTTTTTTGTTCTGAATAAATGGTCATAAAGTTTACTATTTTATTTATTTATTTGTCTAATTTATATAGCTGCCCATCTCTCAAAGCCAACAACTCTGGGCAGCATACAACAGAACTAAAACAATAAATACTTAAAACCATTATTATTATTAATTATTAAAAACATTAAAAACTATAAAAACAGAACTAATACCAAAAAAAAAAAAAAAGACAGGGAGATGTTAATAATAACAGAGCCACCTCACAAGTTCACCCATCCCCTGAGTCCCCAGGTCTGCTGACATAACCTATTATTAATAAACTATTAATTCACTGTCTAGATATAATGGCCCTCATTCTGATACAACTTTTGTGATTTTCCATAGGGACAATTTCAAATATCTCTCTAAGTAAAATTAGGATAGTATAGTCCTGAGGGGCGAACTTTTGTGGGCTGCCCCAGATTTTGAACAGAATGTTGTGGCACTAAAGCCTATTCTGGGGGAAGGATTCAGGAATGTGAAGAGTTGAAGTAGGTATCTTAAGCATCTGCAAGCTTACGCCATCTATTTTTTCCTTTAAAAGCCCCTGAAATACAAAAAGGCCTCTGAAGGTTTGGTCCTACCTATTGTGGAGGCCTGGTGGTAAGCTGTACTTTTTGTATGTCTATACTATAATCTTTGCATGAGGGCTGTTCCACAGCAGAAATTCATGTACAGAAGAAACACAGTGCCTAGAAATGATCCATCTTTTAAAGCTACAAACTAAGGTTCAGAGCTATTTTAACTTCCAGATTCATATGAAAATGAATTTCTTCAAAATACATACCCAATAGTACAGATGAGAGTTCATAAGCTACGAAGTGCACATCCTATGCCATATGAAAACATGAGCATTGAGAACATGTGTCAACAAAAATGATATGGAAAGAGCGTCTAAATCTTTAAGCACCTTGTTAATTCACACTTAAGACAAAGGACACCATACCATAATGCAATAGGACTGTGCAGATTTTTGATGAGATGCTCTGCTTAGTCAGATATCCAAATGAAGCACCCTTTTGAAACTCTTTTATGAAGAATACCTGGTTTTATTTGGCAGAGTAGTTGCTTCACTCAAAAACAGTGGCTTTTGTAGTGCACATGGAGATGACACTGTTTGTGAAGTAGATTGGTCCCACCTTGTGTATAAAAGTGAAATGAGGGTTACAAAGTCCAGGGGAGATAAAAAGCTGATGGATAGAGGAAGTTTTTTCAAGAAAAGAGGATGGAATTTGCAAGAAGGGTAAAGCATTCCCCTCCTTTCCCTTCCAACTCTTTTTATTTGATGGTTCTTTACAACAAACCTAGCTGGGGCTTTGCTGACTAAAGTTGCTTTGTCACTTATTTTTTTGTTGTTTAGGTCACGTGAATCTTGCAGACTTTATTAGTAATTCACAAAGAGAAGAATTTATATTTGCTAATTCCAGCAGTATCCATGAAATAATACCATACAGCCAGCAGGCCTCTTTGTGTATTCTGTACCTCACTCTTACTTACAATAGAGGCTTGTAATGTAAAGGCCCTGATCCTTTAAAGCTAAAGATCTCTGCTTCTTTTTCTTTCCAGAAAGCAAAACTCCTGTCAATGTAACTGCAGATGTCATCATTGCTACAGCTACCTAGTTCAAGGTATTTCCCTGGGACCTGCTCTTTAGGCTCAAGAACACTATCTGATATCCTTGTTTTGGTTATTGTTTTTGGATTTGTTTCCATTGACAGTCTTCGGAGTTCTGTGTTTTTAGTCATGCCCTTATTATTACCAAAAAAATGTTCCTTAATATCCTCAAAACTATCCTTCCAGTTTCTTTTGCCTGCTGCAATCTCATCAATCACTGCTTTGTGAAAGGCACGCACTGTTTCCCATTGATGTCTACTCAAGTGATTGAAAACCTCAAAGCAAAGGAGATGCCTTGCTTTACGTTCCTCAGGTGATAAATCCAGCTCCAGAATATGGAAGTAGCCAAGCATAAATAGATCAAGACTCAAGCTATTATAGTCAGTAGGCTTACCCTTGACATAAGGCAGGAATTGTTCTGGAGAATAGATTGTGTGCTCATGATTGTGACATCTGACCTGCTGAGATAACAGCAGAGAAATGACATCCTTCCAATGACTGATTAACTTCTTGATAGTATATCTCTGATGAACTAAATGGACAAATCTCTTCATTTCTTTCAAAGGCTTCTGCAGAGGACTCTGCTGTTTTCTGAACTCCTCTATAACCTCTACAAGACCTGCTTTTCCAGGCTGCTGAGTATCTAGAGTCTTCCTAGTCAGCAGTTTCAAGGAAGGAGCACATGCAGATTTCTTCCAATGACTTAGAAAAAGTAGCACAATTCGTTCTTTTCGGAGGATGGCAGATTGTGTTATTGAAACACAACGCCCACACACTTTCGAGTAGAGTTCCTTCCAGCTGATACTGGAATCACTGGCACTTTCCACTTCTCCAAACGTCTGTTCTCTACCACTTAATTGCCTCTTGGTCTTACAGGTGCTGAATAATGTTTGAAGTGCTGGCTCTTTGCTTGCCTTATGTTGCAAGGGTGTGTTCTTCAAACCTTGGGGTTCAAAAGGTTTGTAGTAACTCAAAAGATTATGTTTTTCAAAATTGTCTCTCAGTTTCCGTACAGAGACACTACTTTCTAAGATCTCCTTATTGGCTGAGCCTCTTAAAAAAAAATCTGACTTGGCTGCCTTAGGAAGTAACTTCTCATTAGCCTCCTCTTTCTTGGTTCTACTGATATTGTTGAGAAGTAGGGACATATTTTTTACTGTTCCAGACACATGATTGCACCAGGCTGGGAGCTCTTGGGTGTCATCCTGGGAGAAAGGTTGAAGAAACTGAGGGTTGACTGTGATACTGATAATGGGAAATGGAAAAACACTCTGTAGCTCTTCTGTTAGGTGTTCCAGCTCATGCTTAAACTCCTGGCATTTCTTCTTCATCTGCAGCTTCTCAAGCTGGTTCTCTAAATACAGTAAATCATCATTTGTTAATAGTTCCCCATAAGGGCCAAGGATGGCATTGTGAGCCTGTGAGTATTGCCAGACATCAATATCTAGTGCACAGCTTCCCTTGTTCTGGACAGGGCAAAAAAGGAAGCAAGAAGAAACTGTATCAAATCATTTTCTTTCAAAGGCATTACTTCTCAGCCTGCATGAATGAATATTCAAGGAGATTATTAGTGGAGTTACAGCATCTTAGATACATTCAACTACAACTGACATTCTGAGTCATCAAGGCTAATTGATGGACACCATAAGTATGCAACTGGAAAATTATTTCAAGATATCCTGCTGCCTGAACAAGAAATGAATCTATTTAACTAAATGTTTGTCTAATCTATATTAAAACTATACTCATAAACTTATATAGTTTTTAAAGACAACTTAAAATAGAGGACAGCATCCTCCACCAAGCAGATGGTGTAACCCTAACCACCAACCACCCACTATAAATTTAATGATTTCTGTAGGCTGTAGTTCTTAAGGTACCTTGCTTGAATTTGGGGGGGGGGGAGGATTTTTCATCATAGTGAGACACAAAATGATATATTCAACTGGAATTGTAAATAAATAAATAAATTCTATAATGAATATGAGCTAGAAAAGAAATAAAGAGGCACTCTTTGTTCTATTAGCTCAGTACAGTACCTTCCTATCCACCTCTTCTTCAGATGCTAGTTGAGCCTCTAATTTTCTGACCATCACTTGCCGTTTCCATTCTGGGATACAGTAACCTTGTTCATCATAGGTAGGCACCAGTGCATCAATATCCAGTGTTCCCAGGTTGTCTAGCTTTGATACGATATTTCGAGTCTTTGTTTTTCCACCCTATATGGGGACAACTTTTTCAAAGTTTAAGAACGCCTCACAACTTCTCAAATAGTTATACCAACATTTTCTCAAAGAACTGAGATTAATTAAAGGGATTGAGTAGAAAACTGAAATGTGCCCTTGTGTAGATTAGCTTGATCCTTTCTGAAAATCTGTGTTTAAACAGCCAAATGGCATGGCCTTGCAGGGCGAAAACAATAAATTGCAATCTAGAAGTTTAGCTGGAAGAAATCACCAAGAGAGATTATAGGAATGCCAAAGGTATACAAAAGATATGAGGCAGTTTTGAAGATAGTCAATCAACACACAGGATTTGAGAACAGTACATAATCTTTGCCTTCTTTGGAGGTTTATTTATCTTCTGCTCTGCTATTAATGATTTAATGGACTCAGAAAAACTTACTGGGCAGAAAACATTAATAAAAATGCAGTCTTAATAATATTCAAGTATTATTTATCGGATCACTGAGAAATAGATAAAATACAAAATTGAAAGAAAAATTACATTGCCAGAGGATGCAGTAAAAAGAAGGAAGGAATTGGGGGAATCAAACATTCTGCTCAGAAACATGTTAAAAATCTTTTAAAAGGCCCTGTATAAAACCTTATTAGCCTATGTTCAATTTCTGAGTAAAATACTCCGAATTCAGGATTAAATTTAGCCAATCCAATAAATAGCACATGGCTAATAGGAATCCTTTCTCTCTTTTTAGATCATGAAGTTTGCAGTTAAAAAAGATGTTGGCTTTTCAGACATGATACATCAAAAGGTTTTATGTTAACAATATGAAAACCCTGGGAAAAATGTTTTATTCCAAATGGGTTGTGGATGCCATTATACTGGGGACAATCTTCACAAGTGTTTTATCCTGGCATTGGATGTTTCACTACCATTTCCACTTTCCAATCCCTCCAAAGCAGTTTGAAGGCAATATCTTCCACTGATTGCACAATACTGAGAACAAGTACAAGAAAGAATCATTGTCATGTCCCAAGATGGACAGCTCCTGGAGAAACAGAAAATCCCTCAGCCTTACTCCAAAGGGAAATAAAATGAATTTACATGTGAGGTCCACTGCTCCATGTCATTGTATTGTAGCAGTTAAGATAGTTTGCCTGGGCCAGGGAGATTTGGTTTGAAATCCTCATTCAGCTACAGAACCCAGCGGGCTTCTTCAGGGCAGTCAATCTCTCCAAGCACGACTTACTTCATAGGATTGTTGAGGGGAATAAAATTAGGGAAAAATACCTTGAACTCCCAGAACAAAGAGAGGAAATAAATAAAAGAAATAAACAAAATACAACAAATGACTATGATAAATAAATGTGTGTTGTGTACAGTTGTCTGGTCATGCACAAAAAAACTGAGCTCCAAAACTGTTAAGATACGTTTTCCCTTGAACAATGTGCTAAGATACATGTAGCTGAAGCCTAAAGGCTGAGAGGCCTGGTAACATAAGAATTCCTGTAAATGTAGAAATTGATTTCTCATAAGCTCCTCAAAGTTGCAGCATTCCAAAGTAAAGACTTCTTGTAGTATGGTTTCAAATACACCACCACTGAACCAGAAAAGAATCAACTCAGTTTTCAAAAACTTCAGTATCTTGGGATCATAAAGGTCTAGAACTGGTTTTGAACTGGCAGAGTTGTTGTGTGGAAATGCCCTGTGACAGCTGGCTTATTCATAGTCATATGACAAACTTCACAACCAGTCCTCTTAGTGCTATTTTTACTCAATACAAACAATTGATATGGAATGAAAATAGATCAGTCTGCAGTTGCTTAATTTGGACTTTATTCTCATTACATTCTCCTCATATTAGCCCCTTTTCAGGTGTGCAGTGAACATACACTGAAAAAGAGAACTAAGTTTGCACTTTCTATTTCATTCCCAACTTGTAAATGACCCTATTATGACTTTGGATGACATGTTTAGAAATGAAAAGGAGAACAACGAGCAATCTATTTATTATGGGGTTGGTGGGAATTGGGATCATATCCATTGTTCTCCCTGTCATTTATCTCTTTACTAAGTTTTTTAAAGGATTTGCTGAGTTCTGCCACACTACCAATTAGCTCTCCATTCCCAAGGGAGAGTCATCTTGACATGCCAATAATATGTAGAGCAGCGGTATGGTGGAGAGTTGCTTTTGAGTTGTGTCCTCACTCACAAAGCAATGGAGAGGACAAAAATATGGGTATGTGTACTCCTTCTGCAGCAGAGATAAAACATAGGAAAAACCTCCTCCCTGGAGGTTTCTAAGAAAATAATTTGGTTGCTTGCAATATGTTGTCCCCAGGTACACACAATTCCCTGATAGTCCTTGACATACATCCAGGAGCAGAGACAAGATTCTCTCTTCATGTAGTAGACTTCAATATCTTTTTGGCATGTTTATCAATTATATTTGATGGCAATTTAGCTTAATAGAAAAGCTAACTGTGTAACTTTAGTCACTGGGTGATCTTTGAAGAGTGTGATAAACTTCTTTCTGAATGATTGATGCATAGCTTATACTTGACTGACAAGATCACATTGCCTATTCTATCTAAAAATAGAATATGCATACAATTTTCACTTTTGAAAAATAAAAGCAGCTTCTTGATTCTCTATGACAAACCATAGAGTTGAATTGGAAGTTGAGACTTCTATTTCAATCAGCTCTATCTAGCACAGTGAATAATGGTAATAGAATGAGAGAGCTAAAATCCAATACATCTGGAGACACCAAGATTCTTCTTTGTACCACAGAGACATGCACTCAGCAGCAACTCTCCAGCATCTCTAAAGTAGTTTGAAGCTGGATCAAAAGCAGAACTTCCAGGCCTTACTTCTCTCTGTATGACAAATACCTTGTTTGATGAAGAACTGTGTCTAATCTTGCTTGAGAGATAAGATAATGTTAACAATCTACACACACAGACACACATAGAAACCCCATAAACAATATAATAATGAGATAAAGTAGTGAAAGACATCCTAGAATAAGTTTATGAGATCCAAAGCCCACCACTATGGCTATTACCTGGCTATTCTCCATAATTGCTGTATCTCCACTCAAATCTGCTGATAATTTCTAATTCTTGGTATTTGATCAATATTGGTTTTCTTTTACTTCAATGCTTTGATTTTGGCTAATTGAGCCTCTTCACAGTCAGAACAGCACTGTTCATTGGCCTAATGGGACAAAGAGACAAACACATATGCTTTCTCTTCTTATTGCTGAGTTTAGAAAAATGTGGTTTTATATTCTATGAGAAATCAAAAGTCAGTCTCAAAGACACCTTTCAACAATTAAAGAGTACAATCAATCAAACAATCTTTCTTATGGGTTTTCAGTGCATGAAAAGTCTCAAAACTAAACCTAAATAGCCAATTCTTTTCCTTGTTTTTAGAATTCTGTGTGATGAGTTTTAACCTGTTACTATATCTACTATGAAGGATATGAAAAAAAATAGCAGCAGCCTTCTAGAAAGCCATTGCATAACAGAGCTCGTGCTAAGTCATAATGTTATTATAATCTGTGGTTCACAAATCATGGTTTAGACTCAGGTTGAGGTCTCCGACAAATGTTCTTGGACCTTTCCTTTGGTATCCTCCCAAAACCATTTTTTCCTGTGATATTTTCTTTTGCAGCTGGCTATACTCATGGCAGACATTTTATGAATGGGCATGCTACCTCCAAGAAAGCTATAGGACCCACAACATACTCTCAGAATTCCAAATGGCCACAAAGAATAGAAATCAGAGTTAGCTTATTATACAAAGCCAACCATTTGTGGTTTATTTAATGAATCAGTGGGCCAATAAACCATATTGCAGTGAATAAAATAGGCCTGCATATTTTAAACACAAATGCTGCACTGAGGGAAAGTTTAATAACATGGAGTGATTCAATAAGCATGTGGCTTATTCAATAAGCATGCGACATGTGTAAACAAACAAGCATTGTTTGTTTACATATTGTTTACAAGTACCTTCTCTATACTTCCAGTCCAGTCTCTGATGCGTTCTATGTCTAGGCACAAAGAATAGGCTGGTGGGGTGTTGTTTTCACAGACTGTTTGTAGTTGCTAGTCAGAGATGACTTGTGTAAGCTTATCCTCAGTGGATGAAGGTTTTAAGGTATAGCAGGAAATGGGTATGCTATTTATCTTATAAGATGTGGTATTGTCTTTAAATCTACTTTATATTGAGTCTATTAAAAAGTTTAAAATGTTTAGTTGATCAATCATCTGTCTTTTAACAACCTGATTGATCAATTGGATTGAAATGCATTTACTTATTACCAGTGTTTCAATATAATGTTGCCTTTGGTCTTGGAAATGAAGCTTGTTGGCCCTAGTTAGTACTTAGATGGGAGATCATTGGGGAATATATAGGCTAGACTGGGAAATCATAAAACATTCCCAGGCAATGGCAAAACATGGTTGTGTTACTAGAAGTTGACTTTGACTCAAGGATACCTTACATTTATCACATAATGAGATAACTTATAATTTAGTAATATAAAGTTACTTTTACCTTTAAAAAGAAAGTCCATCTTTAACATTTTTCACTTTTGAGAGTAACAGATATGACTTGAAATAATTTTCAGTGTAAACAAATGTGCCTTCAATTCCTAGACTCTAGCAACTGATTAAAGAATGTGGCATTATCAGGCCCAGCAGTAGAACAAAACAAAATGACTCAGCAGAACTGACCTCATGACATTTATGTATTCTGCGACTGACAGGCATTTCTTGAATCTGTGGTACTGTATATCTCAGAGCAGAGATCTACCTACCCCCACCAATGCTGATAGCATTTGTGCTCCAACAGACAGAAAAGACAGCACAAATTAAGGAATCTCCTGAAACCTTGTGGCCTTTCCCCACTACTGACTTAAAGTGCTATCCACCCATCCTTGAGTTGGCAGAAAGCAATACCAGCATAAAACTGGCTGTCCCCATTGCTGGTCCCTATCCTGCTTCTATTGATTCTTTTCCAAGTCGCT